TTCCCCCATTTTAAAGATGGATGAACAGAGGGCAATTTGACATGAAGATTGAGCAAAATAAGTTATCCTCAAACTAGAAGTAACTGAGGCTTTTGATCCTCTCACACTCCCTATGCACTCCAGGATGCCAACACTGAATCTCAGAGGTCCTAAGAGCCTGAAATTCTTACTTTTGTTTTGTATTTCCTATAAAAATCCCTTAATTTCTTCTAAGCATATATCTTTCTAACACGAATATTACCTGGTAATTCTATATAGATGGGAATCATGGAACACAATTATCTCAGAGGAAGCATGGTTGGAGGTGACATAGAGTGCAATGGAAAGATCCATGGAGGCAGGAAGTTACCATCAATGATTCCAAAGAGAAGTGGGTCTAAAGGACCTTATCAAGGACTAGTGTAACTGAAAAAGGAGATACACTGATCATAAAACAAAAGCAACCAATCAGACAATCAGCAAGCACTTATTAAGTGTCTGGTATGAGCCATACAGGACAACTAGGTAGCACAGTACAGTGTGCCAGGCCTGGAGTCAGGAAGACTCACCTTCCTGAGTTCAAATATGGCCTCAGGAACTTAGTAGCTATGTGATCCTGGCAAGTCACTTAACTCATTTGTCTCAGTTTCCTCATCTGTACAATAAGCTGGAGAAGAATATTGCAGACCAATCCAATATCTTTTTCAAGAAAATGCCAAATGGGATCACGAAGAGTCAGAATAACTGAATAGAAACAATACATACATATGTATGTGTGTATATATATATATGTATATGTGTATATATATATATATATGTACACACACACATATATGTAGGTATATTACATACTTTTATTTGTGCATGTTCTTTCCCTGTTTAGAATTTAAACACCTTAAAGGCAGGGACAGTTTCATGTCTATGTCTGTATCCCCAACATGTAATGTAGAGCTTAACACATGGTAGGCACTTAATAAATGTTTGTTGATTGACAGAAAGGGCTGATAGATTTTGAAGGATCAGAACACAGAAAGGTAGTTTGGGGCACAAATAAGAAAAGTTATGTGTTACTGGGATTTTTTGGAGGGGGGAAGAATAGGATTTCCCAAGCCCTTTGGCCAATGATTTGAGGATATATTATTCTCAGAGGACCAAATGAGGGAGCTGCAAGTGAGAGGTCCTTGCCTAGGCTTTTGAATTCTTTACCATTCTGTGGGCTGAGTAGTACATTCTGGAGGACCGTGGATTGCAGCCTAAGCCAGAATGAACTAGCGAGGACTTAATATCAAGACTTTGGACAAAAGATCCTTCATTTAGAGCTCATGAACATGGTTTTACAAAAATATTTTAATAAGTATATTTTGATATAATTGGCTTCCTTTGTAATCCTATGTATTTTATTTCATGCATTTAAAACACTATTCTAAGAAGGTGTCCATAGGTCTATAGGTTTTACCACATTGCCAAAGGGATCCATGACACTCACAAAAAGGCTAGGAATCTCATCTATGTATGAATATGCATGCACATATGTGTAGCAATTTTTACATCTGTGTGTCTATTTAACCATCTCTCTATTCATGCATCTAGCCATCTACCTATCTATTTCTCTATGTAACTTTCTGTTATCTATCCATCTATCTATCTGTCTATATTTGGTGACACTTCCATAGCTGGTAATTCTGAAGATTCCTTGTAAATGTTGTAAGTATAAAGATTCTTTATAAATACCCATTTCTTATTGGGCCTGTCCATCCCCTCCCCATTATATATTTTGACTATAGTCTCTTACAGCAAAACGCCTTTTAGTCACCTAAGGGAACGGTGTGCTATTATTGCAGCACAAAGACAGAGGAAATGGTAAATTCTGTGGGTTTCTTCCTATGGGAGACCTAAAATTTAGAGAACCCTAGTAAGAAGTGATGGCAACTAGAAAGCTGAGTGGGAGTACCAGTGATCCAAGATCTGGGCTTGCTGTTAGGGGAAAAAAGTGAGGTCAAGGGGATCCAGAGGTCCTTCTTGCACTGTGGCACCATAGCACCCCATCTGTAAAATGAGGGGGATGGACTTGACATTAATAGTTCCTCTCCAGTTCTCAAATTCCATTCTAGAGTGAGTCTGGGAACAGGTTCTGGACCATTGCTGCTGAGGCATCTCTGAATGTCCATTATATCACTACCAAGAGTTGATGACTCCAGGACAAAAAATCCCATGTGGATGGTATTGTAGGTGATTTAACCGATTATGAGACTTTCTTGGCCTTTGTGAGATAAAGGTCAAAATACAAGTTGAAGTATAGAAGACAGCAAATTCTTCACATCAATCATAACTGCTTCACAGAGCTCTTACTAGGAAGAAGTGACCAGAGTTTTACCTCAGGGCACTAAAATCTCAAGGGTAATGACAGTACTTACACCCTTTTCACCCAGAGACAACTGAATTTAGCATCTAATTAGCAATAATTAGTTAAAATAGAAAGGTGAAAGATGGTGGACTTCTTTCCCTTGGTAGCTGTTATCTTAGAGGGCCCAGAAGTGGACTCACGGCATCTAAAGTTCTTTTTCCTAGGTGAAGGACTCCTTTTTTGTGTGTTCTTGACCTCTTCGGGAGGCTGGTGAAATCTATGGAGGCCTTCTCAGAATAATGTTTTAAAGCATAAAATAAAATACATAGGATTATGAAGGAAACCAAGTATATTGGAACAGATATAAAAGTCTATATTTTGATATATTTTTCAATATAATTGAATATATGTTTCTGTGTAATTATATACATATATTATATAAATTATACATAACAATATATTCTCTCTCTCTCCCTCTTTCTTCCTGTAAACAAATTTACAGATCCGAGGTTAAATATCTCTGGGCTTTAGTGTGTCAATGTCCTGAGGATGTTGTCTCTTTTATCAAACAACTAAATTTACCTCATAAAGTTGATTTAAGAACCATCAGGTTCTGTTTTCTTTGGGCCCATTTTGTAAAACTTGCCCTATGGGCCAAAATTGCTACTTTTTGATCTGCTGTAAGACAGACTGGTGGAGATGGGGAGTGGGAACTCAATATGAAAATACATTGTAAGAATGATTCTGTCTGTTAATGGAATCCTGTGCTATTCTTCAATTATTTGCTATTGTTATTACCAGGAAACTTGAAGCTTGAAATACTTTCCTTGAGCCTCACTCTCAACTAGTCTTTCCTCTCCTTTGACTTGTTCCAGAACAAAATGGCCCAAGGGCACATAACCCATAGCCCTTATAGTTTGTATAAAAACCAATATCCCTTGGCAGGACCTATGAACAAGATGTTACTGAAAGGTGGAGAGTTTCTCCCGACTCTCTGTGCCCAAAGAAAGGAGGATAAACTATTTGGACAGTTTTTCTGCTTTTTGTACCAAGTACAGCCACGTTATTCCCTTCTCTGGCGAGTTAGTGACCTCCAGAGGGAGGGCAAGGCTCAGAGATAATCGTGTTTGGGAAATGCCATTTCTTCCATGCCCAACTCTTGAGTTAGCTTCTCTATGAGATAATTTCCATGCCAGCATGTGCTTTAGGAGGGTGGTGCATTCCCCTTTGGAGGTGAGGGAAAAAAGTTGAATTGGAGATGGTGGTTGTTCCTATGTCATTTCGGCTTCAGGAGTAGGGCATAAGACCATCTACTTAGCTAAGTCTTTATGTTCATCATCACCCTCATCTTTATTACTATAGGTTGTTAAATTATATGATACAAACACGATATACGACAACGTTATAATTATGCTATTGTTGTGTTGTCTCATTATTATAGCAAGGTTGGGGGAGCACCCAAAGCCAGCCAGCAAACAGTTGGCTGAGAATGGCCTGTGGACATGGGAGCCTTGCCCCAGCGATCCCTTTGGTATACTATTGCTATGTCACAAAAATGCCCACTGCTGGGCAATCTTTCCCAGTGATGAGAGATTAAACTCAATTGTGAAGATCGGGAGCATGACTCTGAGGCCAAAATTCCAGGCTAGAATATTACTGTTCTTGGATTTACAGTGCATTCTGACTCCCAACCAATATAGAACCCCATCATAAGACTCCTATGGGAAAACAGGAGGAAACGGAGAAAAAAAAAAGACTGCTCTCTTGGGCTGTGCAGTAGACAAAGTCACACACCACACCATCAGCGAAGAAAGGAGCGAAAAACCTGGACTACCACAGTTGAACTGCTACAAGTTTCTAGGAGCCCTACCTTTGGTAACTTTGTCTTTCTCTTGTATGCCATCAACTCATACAAAGGTTGGGACAATCTGATCAGGGTACATCAGCATTGAAGCCAACTTAATTTGACTTAAGTATCTATTTCTTCCCTAGAGGATGTCTATATGTATATGTGCTTGTACATGTAGGTGCTGTAGCCCCTGGTAGTCATCTCTAAGGTTCAACTCCAGCCCCAGCAGAGCGCCACTGTACCCCACACCCCGTTCTTGTTTGTAACAGTATGGAGCAAGATAGAAGTTGGACCCATAAATTCTAGAGGCAGGAAAGACTTTCATGTTTCATTCTTTCATTTAAAAAGGAAAATTGCTAGTTACACGTTATGACTTTTTCCGTTACAATTTCGCTGTATCTTGGGTCAGCATAAGAAATTAAACGGGAATTTTTTGGGAGTTTAGTGGAAGCTGCAGATGACACTTGAAGGCTAGCAGATGACACGGAAGAAGTTTAGAAACTCAGAAATGCACAGAATATATGTACAGTATTGTATAATATCAACATATTTTATCTTTTAATACCATAATAATTCAGACTTCTTTTCTGGTATGATGGGAGGGCCAAAAATTTTCACTTGGATTTTCCAAATCCCCTGGGGCACTAGGCCCTTAACCTCTGTGATGTGGAAGGGATAACTGTATTTGTAATTCTGATTAGTCATATTTTCAACAAAAAAGTTTAAGTTTTAAAGTCATGCAAGTAAATACCCATATAATACCCACAATATAATAACACAATACCCATGGAAATACTCACAGTGTCATGAAGAATACATCAAAAACACTTTGCCTGTACAGGTGTATTGACCATAAAGAATAAAACCAAGAATAAATCTACCTGGCTTCTTGAAGTGACTGTGACCTGTCTGAACTCCAAAGAGTTTACACATTTTTTTTAGCCTATGCTAAGTACCACATCATCATACTTTTTTTAAAACCAACTCACATGATTATTTTAACTTTTTTTTTAGTCTTAAAATGATCAAGGTTCTCCTGTTCTCCACTTGGCTTCAGTGGATTCCCTGCTCAGGCCATTGAAGCTCTTTGGCATAGGCACCTTTACAGCTTATAATCTTGTAGTTTTTCTCAAGTTCCAGACCAGGAATTGTGGATCTCCAACCAATAAAACCCGTAGTAGTCTGAGGAACTGGTGGTGAAGGGTGGACCTGAAATGAAAAAAAATCAGGACTTTAAGTTATCTTTCTAACAAATTCATATTCAATTTATCAAACATTTATGGAGCACCTACTATATGCCCTGTCTAGCTACAGGAGATACAAATAAAGGCAGGAAATGAGCTGTATTTTCAAGGAGTGTACAGTTTACTATCAATCTATTTATTAAGGGCTTATGGCATGCCAAGCACTCTGCTAATAGCTGGAGGATACAAAGAAAAGACTCTCTGTCTCTCTCTGTGTCTCTTTTTGTCTCTTTTTCCTGTGTGTGTGTGTGTGTGTGTGTGTGTATGTATGTATATACACACACACACACACACATATACATATATATATACACATACGTATATATGTATGTGTATACATAAGATATATGATATATCTGTGTATATCTATATATAGGTATATGTGTATATATATTTATATATATGTATATGTATATATGTTACCTGCCCTCAAAGAGGGCATTCTAATTGTGTAAATGGGTATGTACAGGATACAGTACAATATAGGTAGCAGATAGCCCTAGGAGGGAAGGCTCTAGCACATGGGAGGACTGGGGAAAGCTTCCTGAAGAAGGGGAATTGGAACTTAGTCTTGAAGGAACCCAGGAATTCTAAGAGATGGAAGTGAGTGGGGGAAGCAAACATAGTATGGGCAATAGCCCCATGCAAAGGCACGAAGATGGAGCCTTGTGTGAGGAGAAAAGCACACAGGCCAGTAGGATTGTATGGCCAAGTGTATGGAAGGGAATAAAAAGCAAGAAGATTTGAAAGTAGGAAGGGACCATGTTGTGAAGAGCTTTAAATGACAAATGAACATTCTGAAGACCTGTATATAAGGACCTGAACTTAAAAAAAGTAACATACTGACCCTATTCTTGAAGGAACTGAGATCTTGGTTTGGGTATGCTCTCTGCTAGTATAGATCATAGCTCCTCTATGCCTTAATAATTATATGGCCTCAGAGAATTTCTGTGGCCAAAATATTGGCAGCTGGTGGTGCAATGGATAGAATGCTGGGCCTGGAGTCAGGAAGACCTGGGTTCAAGTCCAGCCTCAGAGAGTTTACTAGCTCTGTGACCCTAGGGTAAGTCATTTAACCTCTGTTTGCCTCAGTTTCCTCTTTTATAAAATGGACATAATAATAGCAACTCCCCCCAGGATTGTTATAAAGATTAAATGAGATAATAATTGGAAAGTGCTTAGCACAGTGCCTGGCACAGAGTACTATATAAATGTTGTTGTTGATTCTGTGGCCTATACTAGGAAGGTGCTGAACTTCTCCTTTATTAGCTAGACTGGTCCTAGAACATGGAATATCAGAGCTGGTCCAACTGCCTAGAAGGGAAAATGAGTTGCCCAAGGTCACAGGGTAAATTGGTGACAGAACTGGGACTAGAACCTAGGTCTCTTGACTCCTCCAAGATCCCTGTGGGGAAGACAAAGTAAATATCATTATCCCTATTTTTCGATGAGCAAGTTGAGGCTCAGAAAGTTAAGGTTCTGTGATGGCAGACCTGATAGGCCATCAGCAGAGCCAATGTTCCCTGAATCCTTTTCAGTTTGGTAGGAAGGACCTACCAGAGTTTGTGCCCTACTGCCAAAGCTTCAGAGACCACAGAAACACCCCAGCACCACACTGACCCATTAAGGGAGAATGTCCACAAAGGAAATAACAATATGAACTTGAAAAGTGCATTTTAAGATCAAAAGCATTCTGCTGCTCACATTATTCCTGAAAATCAATTAAACACGTTTTATCATATAATTACTAATGCCCTTAATATTCTTCTTCTAATAAAATAGCTTCATTAATAAAGAATCTGGTCTAAAATGTTTGACATTTTTGTGTCCAAGCTGCCCTTTATAAAATCTATTGCAATTGTGTCAGATGACATTCTGGCTGTGCAAAACCTTCCTATTTTGATTAAAAGACTCTAGTGCACGCGCGCGCATGCACACACACACACACACACACACACCCCAAACAGAAAAGTCCCTCACTGTCTAGACCACATGGAATAAAAGAAAACCGAATCTAATTAAAACAAAGAAAATAGCATCATATCTGGAATGAAAGAAAGCAGTTCAATTTGTCAATTCAATCAACAGATTTGAGCATTTTGGAAAATGGTGGTAAATGTTTAGAAAGGTTTTTTTGTGATTGTAATTTTACATAATCATCTGTTCTGCTATTACAAGGTGATTTAGACAAAGACACTAGGCTAGGAATATTAGATCTAGCAGAGTTAAGTGAGAGACAAGGGTGTTTAATATATTATGGATTACTGAACTCATCCTTATCTTTTTATTTTCCATCTCTGCCTGTAATAACCCCTTTAGCTGTCTGGGTTGGTTTAAACTGATACAGAGAGAAGAAAAATATCTCCTTTAATAGATTTTCTCCATCAAGTACTAAAATTAATCTCTAACAAAATCCGCAGAAAGAGAAAGAAGTCAAAGAGATGCTCAAGGAACCAGAATTGCTATTGGGACAGCTTAGAAAGAGAAATTAGTTTTAAGACCAAATAGTTTAAAAAAAAAACACACCGGTCCTGGGAGATTCTTGTAACCAACACTTTAAGTTGGACCTTTTAATTCTATGTTCAGCAAGAAAGATGACAAAGTAAAGGAACTGACCAATGTAATTGGATACATACACACACACATATATATATATATATATATATATATATATATATATATGTATATGTGCATATACATATATATATATATATATGCACACACACATAGACACAGACACACACGTTTTATATATATATATATACACATATATGTATGTATGTATGTATGTATATGTATATGTATGTGTATGCATGTATCTATGGATAGGTACGTATATATGGAGCTCTGAGCCAAGCAAACTCAGCCCTGCTTTCTGCTTGGGGCTGGGCTAGAGTTTGACTGGAATGCCTGGGCTGCAGGAAAACAGCTCTCTGCTGTATGGCTTTCACATCTGGGGACTTACTCAATAGAGAAACACACGGAGAGAAAACAATGTTTCAGTTTGTTCTCTTGCCAGGACTATTCTTCTTTGTTCTCCAGCCAAGGCTGGAAACTGTTTGTGATACTTAGGTGGAGCCCCTTCCTTTGAAAAGATAATTATGGCGGTCACAAGTGCCACCCACTGAGCAGCAGAATGGGGAAACCGATGCTCCTCTGTGCCGAAGCCACCAGGAGCCAGACTCCAGAAAGGAATGAGTAGGAGGGGGGATTAAATCTAATCCACCTCGGTGGAAAGGATACAGTCTGATGATCCATTGCTAACAGGAAAAGCAGACAGTGTCATTTTTACCCATAGATGTGAAGAGGATTAATAGTCACTTTCCCCCTCTTTGGCATTTTTCTGGGTACCCAACACAGATCTACAGAGTTCTAGCTGGGATGGTTCTGAACCTGGAAGCATAAATCAAGGACGCACTAGAGAATGTGATAGTGTCTTGGAAGACCAGAGACTCATAGCAGTATAGAGGAGAGAGAAATCAAACTCATTAAGAGGAAAGGTCCCTCTGTGTGTGTGTGTGTGTGTGTGTGTGTGTGTGTGTAGGGTCAGTCACCATGCATTTATTAAGTGCTATGTACTAAGCACTGTGCAAAGAGCTTAAACAAAGAAAAGCAAAAACAATTACTGCCGTTCAAGTCCCTTTTTCCTCTCTTCCCTCCTCTTCTTCTTCCATCATCAATCAATCAATCAATCTGAATTTATTGACTACCTACTATATGTCTGGCACTGTGCTAAGTGCCAGGGATACAAAGACAAAATGTCTGCCCTCAAAGAGCTATCATTCTGTCATCATATAGGTGAGGCAGTGGATAGAGCACCGGGCTTTGGGTTGAGTAGATGGTGCAAATATCTTTTTAGACACCTAATAGTTGTGTGACTTGGAACAAGTCACTTAACCTAGATTTGCCTCTGTTCCCTCAACTATAAAATCGGGATAATAATGGCACCTACCTCCTGGAATTATTGTGAGGATCAAATGAGACAATATTTGTAAAAAAGCACTTAGCATGGTGCCTGACACAGAGTAGGTACTACATAAATGCTAACCATTATTATTTCATTATTACTGGCCTCAACAAGCAAGTGGTAAGAATATTCGATTGAGGATTCAGGAAACCTGGGTATGGCTTCTGGCTCTAGCAATAATTGGTTGAGTAATTTTGGGGAAATCATTCCACCTTTTTGGTCCTCTGATTGATCACCTACAGAATGAAGAGAATGCACTCAGTAATCTCTAAGTTTCCCTTCCAACTCTAATGATCTGTGATTGCATAATTATCATAAAGATCAGTGATCATTCTTATCATTTGAATTTAGTCTAAAATCCAAAATCTTCTACAATCTGCTTCCAATCTACCTTTCTAGCCTTATTCCCCACCAATCCCATTCATGCCCTCTATGCTCTTGCCAAATCAGACCTTTTCCTAAAACTCTCCCACTTCCATAACTTTATTCACTTTATCTCCCATATCAGATTCCTCCATCTCTGCCTGCTGAAATCTTTCCAATTCTAAGAGTTACGGTGGGAGGAGGGAAGATCTATCTCTTCTATGAAACTTTCCTAATTTCTCCCCATCTTTACCCTCTAGATGATGTATCCCTCTTTCAATCTTTTTTTTATATTGTTTATATCTGTCTCGTGCACTTTGCAAATCCTAATTGTTTCATATTAATGTGTTTTATGTTACTTTCAGCTGTAAAAACTCCCTGAGATCAGGGACTATCAGTCACCATCTTATTAAAAAAAAAAGCACAATGTTTTGCACATATGAGATTAAATAAATAAGCAATGATCATGATAATTCATTTGAATGACCGCAATATTTTAGATTTAGAAATTAAAGAGACCGTAGAAGGTCATTGATTCAATCTTTTTTTTCTCCCCATTTTACAGATGAGGAAATTGAGGCCTGAAAGATTAGGTGATTGGACTAGGGTCACAAAACTAATAAATGTCTGAAGTGGGATCCAAATTCAGGTTTTCTTGATTTCAAATCTACTCCTTTATCCTCTATACCATGCTGCTTCCCATAAGAAACTAGTGGGGGGTTTTTTTGCTTTTTTTTTTTTAAATATAGGCAATTTACCCCAGACTCAGGATTAAAAGTTGCACTCACTATTCTTCCCAATTTTCCATTTCTTACCCCTCAGGGAAAAACAATTATGCTCTCTGAAGCTTTATATGGAGAAAATCTTCCATCTGTTGCAGTGTCTGGAGCTTTAGAAAACAATAGCTAATACTAATCTTATTTTGTTTTTTGTTTCTTAAAGCACTTTGAAAAAATTAAAGTGCTATATAAATGCTAGCTAGTATTATCATCATCTTCTACAGGAAGCCTTCCTCAACCTTTCTTAATTCTAATGCCTTCCTTCTGTTGATTTTTTCCTGTTCATCCGATATATAGCTTGTTTTTCACATATTCGTTTGCCTGTTATCTCCCCTGCCATTAGATTGTAAGCTCCTTGAGGGCAGGAATTGTCTCTTGCCTCTTTTTGAAACCCCAGTGCTTAGCACAGTGCCTGGCACACAGTAGGCACTTAATAAATGTTTCCTGATTGCTCACCAAATTATCAGCATCATCACCACGCAGGTGGGACTTGAGTTGGTTCTTGAAAGATTGGTAGGACTTGGATAGAGCAAGGAAGGGGGATGAATATTTCAGGTGAGAGAAGACGTGGAAGAAGAAAGGGGCATGGAGTGACACAGGGAGGAACCAGATCTGGCTGGAGATAGGAACTTATTTGGCTATAGTAGAAAATGGGGCTAAACAAACAGCTATGTGAGGGAGATGTTTTAGTTTATTCACTTTAAAAAAAACTTTATTTTTCTATCCTTAAGTGATATGGAATCATTTCTGAGAAAGAGCTGCAGGAAAGTCTGGATATGTAGTATACACTATGCAATGTCTACCAGGCAACTAGGAGAGCTGGGTGCTAGTTCTGGCTTTGCCATTAAATAGCTAGGTGAGCTTGAGGAAGGCACACAGACTCTGGACTGCACTGTCCTTATCTGTCATATGAAAGGTTTGAACTGTTTTTTTGGGTCAGGATTGTCAGCTTAGTAGATGAGGAGAATGCTATATAATCTACCTAGATTTTAGCAAATCCTTCGACAAACTCTGCTATTCTTATGGGTGGGAAGAGAGATGTGGGCTTGATGATAATATCTCTAGGTAGATTTGGAACTGTTTGAGTATTTGAACCCGAAGAACAGTAATTAATGGTTCCCCTGCAACTTAGAAGGAGGTCTCTACTGGAATGCCCTGGGGATATGATTTGGTCCTGTAGTATTTAGCCTGTTTTTCTCAAATGCTTAATACCAGGTTTTTTTTTACTATGACGTGATAAATGTCAGCAAACATGAACACTTCTATATACAAAGATCATCTAGGTGATACAGTAGGTAGAGTGCTGAGTTTAAAAGTCAGGAAGACTTGAGTTCAAATCCTGCCTCACACCCTAACGGTGTAACTATGTGGATCTGAGAAAAATCACTTAGCCTCTCAGCTTCAGTTTCCTCATCTGTAAAATTGAGATAGTAATACAACCTACCTTTCAGGATTGTTTGAGTAGTAAATTAACTAATATTTATAAGGTGCTCTGTAAACTTTATTTTAAGCAAAGCAATTGGGGTTAAGTGACTTGCCCAGGGTCACACAGCTAGTAAGTATCAAGTATCTGAAGCTGGATTTGAACTCAGGTCTTCCTCACTCCAAGGCTGGTGCTCTATCCACTGTGCCACCTAGCTGCCCTTAAACTTTAAAGATCTATATAAATCATAGCTAGGTTATAATAGCATATGAAACTATGCACTTCTGCTATGTAAAATATGTTCTATTTAACATTTATATTAGTGATGGATAAAGACATAGAGGGCATTCTTATTTAATTTACAAATGACACAAAGATATGAAAGGACTGGAATCCAAAAACACAGGCTAGAAATCTGGGTTGAATTGAATAAGATCAAAGTTAACAGGGATAAATTTACAGTGTTAGCAGTTAAGGTTCAAAAATTCAATTCCACAACTACAAGATGGTAGAGATATGCCTAGAGAGCAGTTTGTCTATAAAAGATCTGGGGAGATGGGGTCTTAATGTGTTACAAACTCCACGTGTCAACAATATGCCAGAGTAGCCAAGAAAAACTAATGCAGCGCCAGGCTTCATTAAGGGAGGAGCTATGTCTCTAGGACTAGGAAGATGACAGTCTTACTCTACTCTGTTCTGATTAAATTGCATCTGGAGTATTAGGTTCGATTCTACATACCATACTTTAGGAAGGTCTAGAAAAGGGAGAAAGTGAGCCCTGTAATCTTTCCATATGAGGAATAATTGAAGCAATTGGATATATTTAGCTTGAAGTAGATAACACTTGCACGAGTAAGGGAGGAAGGGCACGTTAACTATCTTCAAGTATTAGAATGGCTGCCATTTGAAAGAAAGACTAGTCTTGGCACCACAGACCAGGAGTAGGAACAATGGCTGAAAGTTACAAACAGGCAAATTTAGGCTAGATATAATCTGCCCCAAAGTGGAATGGGTTATCTTAGGAGGTAGTAGGTTAGTTAGCTTCCCTCTCCCCAATCCCCATTGAAGGTGTTCGAGGAAAGCCTGGATAATAGTTTATCAGGTGTGTTGTAGAGAGGATATCGTTCAGGTTCATCGTATACTAGTGGGGCAGCTAGATGGCTCAGTGGATAGAGCATTGAGGACCTGAGTTCAAATCTGGTCTCAGACATTTATTAGCTATGTAACCTCTGTTTGCCTTAATCCACTATAGAAGGAAATGGCAAACCCCTCCAGTATCTTTACCCAAAAAACCCCATGAACAGTATGGTATTACAAAGAGTTGGACCCGATTGAACAATGACATATATTAGTTGACCTCTAAGATACCTTCCAATTTTGAGAATCTATTATTCTGTGTCCAAATGACCTCTAAGTTTCGATTGATGATGATGATGATGATGACTATTATAGCTAGGATTTCTACGGTGCTTTAAGGTTGCAAAGTACTTTACAAATATGATTTCATTTGATCTTCATAACAACATTGGGAGAAAATGCTATTATTATCTCCATTTTATAGATGAGGAAATCGAAGTAGTCAGAGGCTATGTGACTTATCCTAGGTCACATAGCAAGTAAGTGTCCAAGGCCATATTTGAACTCAGATCTTCCTGGCTCTGGATGCAGTGCTCTATCCATTGTGCCACCTGGCTGTCTCTTAAATTTTATATTTCTTGCATTTCTAAATTTTATGATTCTATAGATTATATTGGGCATCACATTATTCAGATAATTGTCTTCCCTTTAAGCTAAGAGCGGTAGAGAGAAAAGAGAATTATAGGCATCTCCTATGTAGACATAGAAAGAATGAATACTTAACTAGAAACTAAGAGACCTGGAATCTAGGTCCTGCTCTGTTATTAAATCACTGTTAGACCTCAGGCAAGTCACTTAATTTATCATCTCTTAAATGAGGTGTTAGACTAGATAATCTCTGAAATTCCTTCCAGATTTAATCTATATTCTAAGACTCCCCTCTTCGATAAAGTCCATTGGCTCTCTATAGCTTCCAGGATCAAATACCTAATTCTCTGAAATTCAAAGCCCTTTATAACCTACCCTGCCCTCACCTCCTCACTTTTCCCATTTTTCTACACCTTTCCTACACCTACAAGTACTCTTTGATCCAGTGACAATGGCCTTGAATAAGACATTTTACTCTGGGCATTTTCACTGGCTGTCTCTATGCTTGGCATACTCTCCTTCCTCATCTGTCCTTCCTGATTTCCTTCAAATCTCGGGTAAAATCCCATCTACAGGAAAAAAAAAGATTCCCAGTTCTTTTTAATTCCAATGTTTTCCATCTGTGGATTATTTCTAATGTGTCCTGTACGTAGTTTGTTTTTACATAGTTGTTTACATGATTTCTCTCCAATTAGATTGTGAGATCCTTGATAGCTGAGACTTTCTTCTACCTTTCTTTGTAACCCTAGTGCTCAGCACAGTACTTGGCACGTATTAGGTGCTTAATTAATATTTATTGACTAACTCCTTGCTAGCCTGACATTCTGTCTTGCATATTAAAAGGTCTGTTCCATTGCTAATATCTTAAGTCTTATATTCTAAAGGCCTTTCTAGCTCTAATATTTGATATATCTGATATACATCACAGCACATCCTTCAATGTCCTGAAAAGTAGAAAGGGATATTTCTACAATTCTAAATTAAGATTCAGTGCAGTAGTGTATTCTTCTAGCCTCTGAATTTTTATTTTTGCATCCAGAATAAACATGATTTCCATTGTGGCTCATTTTTTATTTATGAAAACAGTATTGAAAATTCCATTTTCTAACCTTAATATATTTTTCCACTGGTGTCACGGGCCGGATGCCTAAATGTCCTGGAAGTTCTATCTTGGGCTTCGGAGGCTTAGGTACTTCCCCTTCTCTCCTCAGTAACTAAAACAGAACGTCTAGGTCACCAAAGAATATTTGAATTCAGCACAATTGTTTTCTCCAGAAAGCTGTCCAACCTGTTCCCAACTTAATTCCCCAAACTAAACTCAGAGCTAAAGAATTCATACCTGAAAATCTGCCTAGTTTCTTAAGGCTATCATCTAAATGTTGGTATTACATATATATGTATATACGCATACATATATATATATATGTATATATATGTATATACGCATACATACATACACACATACATATATGCACTTTGCAAGGACAGAAGCAGCACGTGCTCTGTTCTACCAAATCTCAAATATTTGGAATCTATAGTGGTTATCACACCAATACTCATAGAACCTGGGAATATTTGCCTAGTGTAGACCACTTCAAATGATTTTTAAATGGCAAGTGGGCCATGTTTTCCCTCGTTAAATTCTTCTTTATAAAATGGTTTTTGGATGCATTATAACCTGTCTCTGCATTTAGACTCCTAGACTCTGGAGTCAGCCATAACTAGCACTGATTTCAATGGAACTTAAAATTAAGATTTGGGGTGTGTGTGTGTGTGTGTGTGTGTGTGTGTGTGTAACCAAAACCACTTTAAATCTCCTCCAACCACTCCAGAATTAATTTCAAATCTACAATTACTAAAGAAAATGCTATCTTAAATTTTTAAATTTGCGTTATGTGTGAAGAAAGAGTTTGTCAAAAGCATGGTAAATATAAACAAGATTTGTTGTAAGGGTGATGTTTATCCCAAAGAAGACAAACTCTCTTTTCAAACATTATGATAACAATATTTAATTTATAGTGGAAAAGGCAGGGACCAAGGGTTCATGACTAAATGTTATCTCCCCTGTTAGACTGCGAGCTGCTTGAGAGCAGGAACAGTCTTTTGCACTTATGTGCCTGGCACACGGTTGGTACTTTATAAATGTTTAATGACTGACTCAAGTTTGGTGTCTAGGATTCCTTAGTAATGTAACTTTGCTCTACCCTATAGGATTAAAAGATCATGGATTTATAGTTAGAAGGGCCTTTCAATGGCATAGATCTTCTTTTACAGGTGAGGAAAATGAAGTTCATAAAGGCTAAGAGATTTGCCTAAGGTCATAACTGGCATCTCTTTAAATTTCAACCTTTGTTTGTAAAATGGAGGTGATAACAATGCCTTGACTGTCCCACAAAGGTTATTTTGAAGAAAGTACTTTGTATACTCTAAATCACAATACAGATATAAACAATTACTGTTTGTGTTAAAGTTAGGGGTCCCTAACTTTTATTAGTTAACATTTTCTTAGCCAACTTTGAGTTTCTGAAGGGACCTGGATGTTATAAACTTAATTTCTTTTTAAAGGCAATTCAAACTTTTTTGCTAATTCAAATGGCCTGCCCAATTTTTTCTCAGATTAGTTAGGTTTTATTGAATTCCTAATTTCAATGAATACATTGATATAGGCAATGGCGTCCTAGTAAATACTTAATAACTTGCTCTCAAAACTGTATGTGACACTTTAAAATTTAATCTTCATCATTAATGTTTTCTCCATCACTTTCTTAAGTCTAGATAATCAAAAAAACAAGAAACCAAGTCCTGATTTGTAATTTGCCAATTTCTGGGGTATAAGCATTCACACTCAAAGTTTTGACAGTCTAACAATTGGCTCTGGCTGGTAAGAGCTGGCTCCAGCACATGCTGGGATAATAGACTGCCTCTGAATACTGTTTCTAGGTAACAGAACCATAGAGAATGAATCGTCTTCACCAAGATGAAAATTACCCTATTAGCCTACCCAAATGCAATCCCCTCAAGTGAAATTATTTGAAAGGAAAAAAAAACATAGGTTGCATTGTAAACCCAGAGCACAACTGTGGCTCATTTTTAGGCCAAATTTTGAGAAAAGTATAACCTAAATTTGGACCAATATAATAATGATGATAACTCACATTTATATAGTCATTCATATGGTGTTGGAAAGGACCTTAGCAGTTTTCTAGTTCAAACTCTTCATTTTACAGACAAAGAAACTGAGGCCCAGAGAGAGGAGATGATAAACTCAGGATAACATGGGAAATAAGTGGCACAGAGAGGATTTGAACCTAGCTTCTCTAATACCAAATCCAAATCTGCTGCTTCTCTAGCCTTTCAAGTTTTATAAAACACTTTAGCATCAAGATTTAAGAGTTGAAAAGAATCTTTGAAGTCATCTAATCTACCCCCCACATTTTAGAGATGGAACCAGAAACCCAGAGAGCTGGAAGGGACCTTAGAGGACACATAGTACATCATTGTTATTTATAGATGAGGAAACTCAGCACAGGAGAATTGAAGTTAACTTCCCAAGGTCATAAAGTTATAGAAAAAAAAAACCAAACTGGGTTTTGAACTCAGATCCTCTGACCCAAGGGAATGTTATTAATTCACTGCTATTTCCATTAAATCATGGAAACCTGAAGTATTTCTAGTATCGTTAACCTCTCCTGACATATGCCCCTAATAAATAGCATGGTGGGGGCTGGCTTATTTTCTGTGAAGCAGATTTTTCCCTATTGGTTTCTAGAACATCACTGAAGATAATAATAATCTTATAAAGGAATTAACGAAAAGATCTTCTGGTTTCTAAGTATTTGTCTTTATAAAACCTCATTTTGTGTCCCCACCACCACTCACTCCCCCAACCAAAAAAAAATGGTCTCTTACTTAGTTTTGCCTAACACTGGCTATTTTATTGGTAACAGCAATGAATTGGAGGACTAACAGATTATAGTCATTTGGGTCAGTATCTGATACATCACAATTCCGTTCTTGCACATTGTACATTTCATAGCCATGTGCCTCTTAAAATTAACTATTACCTCTTCCATAGAGATTGTTAAAAATCCCCAATTCTTAGACCAATTATTCCGTGCATCTGACTCGGCTTGAAGGCGATATTTCCTGAAATTAATAATCTCAGAGTTATGAAAGCAAATTTTCCAAGCTATATTAGCAAATAACCAAACCTATGAAGTTGTGCTCCATCATAGACTTACATTATTAATTTGCACTGTTATTAATTTCCCAAGTTAGACAGTTAAAGTGACCTAACAAACCTGAGCTAGAATTAGCAAGACAAAAGAAAAGAAACAAGCATTTTTAAGTACATGCAATATGCCAGGCACTGTACGAAATGCTTCACAGACTTTATCTCATTTAATCCTCACAAAAATCCTGGGAGGTAAGTACAATCATAACGCCATTTTGTAGTCAAAGAAGCTGAAGCAGACAGAGGTTAAGTGATTTGCCTAGGTTCACACAGTTAGTAGGTATCTGAGGCTGGATTTGAACTCAGGTCTTCTTGACTCCAGGCATAGGACTCTATCCACCTTCCTACCTCTAACTATATGCTGATCATTACACAATGGCAGGATTACAGAGTTAGAAGGGCCATCAGAGAGCATCTAGGACAGCCCTTCCCTTCATTTATTCAATCATTTGAAAAACATTTAGAAAGTGCTTACTATGTATTAGGCAGTGTGCTAAGTGCTAAAAATACAAATACTAAAGTAAAACACTGCCTGTCCTCAAGGAGCTTACATTCTACTGGGAGAAACAATAGACATAAATATAAGTCAATACAAAATATATACATAAAAATCATTTCAGGGGGGGCACTAACCTCTGGAAGAATCAAGAAAGGCCTCGAAGTGTGATAACACTTGAACGAAACCTCAAAGAATCCAGGGACTTTAAGACAGAGGTGAGTAGGAAGGAAGTACATTCCAAGCATGGAGGAGATAGGAGATAGAATGTTGAATGTGGGGAAGAGCAGGCCAACCAGTTTGCCTCCAGGGGTGGGGAACCTGCAGTCTTGAGGTCATATGTGACCTTCTAGGTCCTTAGGTGTGGCCTTTTGACTGAGTCCAAGTTTAACAGAACAAATCCTTGTATTAAGGGAATTTGTGTAAAGCTAGGATTTGCTCAAAGGGCCACCTTTGAGGACCTAGAGGGTCACATGTGGCCTCAAGGCTGCAGGTTCCCCACCCCACCCTAGAACATAGTAAAAAGAGAGTAATGTATGATAAGCCTGAAAAAGGTGTCTAGATCCATATTGTGAGGGGCTTTAGGGAGCTACTAGAACATTTTGGTCAGGAAAGTGACATAGTTGCACCTCTGCCTTTCTGAATATTGGCATCTATGTGGAGGATAGATTGGGGAGGGGAGAGATGGGAAGACTAATAAAATGTGATTGCCATAGTCTAGGAGAGAGGAGATTAGGGTCTGAGGTAGGGTGGTGGTTACATGAATAGAGATGTTGTATGGGAAGAAGCAACCCAGCTTGGTAACTGACTGGACATGGGGAGTGAGGGAAAATGAAAAGGCTAGAATGACTTTGAAGTTGTCAAGCTGGATATCTAGAAGGATGGTGGTCCCCTCAATGCAAATAAGGAATAGTGAGAAGGTGGATTTTGGGGAAAAGATAATGAGCTCTGGACACGTTGAGCCTGAAATGTCTATGGGACATCTAATGATTGTTTGATAGGCAGCTTGTGATTTGTGACTTGAGCTCAGGAGACAGACATAGATCTGGGAGTCATCTTGATAAAGATGATACTTGAACCTGGGAGAGCTGATAAGATCACTGAGAGAGGGTATATATAGAATGAAGAGAAGAGAGCTCTAGGGGACACTCATAGTTAAGAGTATGGGTTTTAGATGTTGAACTAGCAGAGGCTGACAAGGAGTGGCAAGACAATGCTGTGGGTCAACTAAGAGAGAAGAGAGTCATGAAACCCGGAGAGGAGAGAATACCTAAGACCTGATGGATAATCACCTCAACAGCAACTTCAACAACCAGTCATTCAGCCTTGGCTTGAAAAGAGGTAAGAGAGCCTACTGCCTCCCGAGGCATTGCATTATACATTTGGACAGTCCTAATTGTTAAGAAGTTCTTCCTTACATGAGCCAAAACTTGTGTTACTGAAGCTTCAGAGCCAAGTTAAAAAAAATACCTCTCATGACTTTTCTTCAAATATCTGAAGATCATATACTCAGGCTTTTCTAGGGTAAACCCCACCGTTACTTCTTTGATCCTTGTATGAGATCCTTTTACCATCTTGGTTACCTACTTCCAGACATCATTCGTTTGTCAATGTTTTCCTACTTGTCAAAGTTTGTCCAGAACTGAATTCAATTTTCCAGATATGGGCTGCTTATTAGGGCATGTGATAGCAGGACTATTGCTTTTCTCGTTCTGAATACTTTCCTTTTGTTATGGAAAATTCAGACATAGTTCAGAACTACTAAATCAAAGCAAATCTTAGTGATTGGGACCAAAATTTAAATGCAAGGCAAATCCTTAATATATGCTAATTGAGAAATAAAACAAATTAGGTATATCTTATTTAAAAATCATTTTTCAAAGATTTCACAGGCCTTCAGAGCTGGAAGGGATGTCATACATCCAACTCCTAACTAAGTAAAAATCCTTTGCACAGAACTCATGGAAAACGGGTCATCCTGCCTCTGCTTGAACACCTTCAGTGATGGGAAACTCATTATATCCTGTGATAGCTCTTTTATCTGATTTACATAAGAATTGAGAAGGAAATGTATGTGCAATTGTAGGAGTATGAACTACCTGATGAGTAAGTTTCCTTTACCTCGCTGGCATGGAGTTCTGTGGAATAATATAGACCTTCGTAATAAAAAAAAATAATGACTAGAGTTTATATAGTGCCTACTGTGTGCCAGGCACTATGCTAAGAGCTCTACACATATCTCATTTTATCTTCACAACAGCTCTTTGAGGTAGGTGCTATTATTATCCACATTTTATAATTGAGAAAACTAAAGCAAACAAGTTAAGTGACTTGCCCAGTGTCAGACTGAATTCAATTCTTCCTGATGCTAGGCCCAGCTCTCTATCCACTATGCCACCTAGCCACCTGCACAGGGGAGCAGGATGTAGAGTCTAGTAGTCAACTTTTGTGTGATTTATTTTGCTATTCTGTCCTAATTAAAAGCTTTGCTATTTGATTTATTATTCTTGGCCTGTTGGTGGAGAATGCCTTGGGGGAGTGTGTGGGAGGCAGGGTTTGAATTATACTTGTTTAATTTCGAATAACTATTATTATCCGTAATAACCCACACAGAACATGAAGTAGGGAAGGGTTCCTGAGTTGTTAGGGTCCTGTGCTATATATAATCTATATATTTCAAGCCCTCCTCTTTCAAACTATTTTGCATTTCACTACTTAGTGTATATTTGTATTGATTTACTTTATGTTTATTCTGTATATATTCTTATTCATAGTATTAGAATGTAAACTCCTTGTGATTAGGGATTGTTTCATTCTTTTTATGTATATCCTCAACACCTACTAGGGCTTGGCACACAGTAGGTGCTTCATAAATACTAATTAATTGATTGATCAGTATAAAGTGTGGTTTGTCTTTTCAAAATAGAGAAAAATACAAAGCTGAGGCCGAGGCCATCAGCCTGTGTCATGTCTCCGTAAATTCTTTGAAGTTATTTGCCTGTCTGTATTCCCTAGTCCCAACCCAGCTCTATTTCCTTTTATACCATCTTGGCTTTATTTCTGCCTTTCCACCACCCCTCTCCCCCATCCTCAGTACCTTAGGTAGAAACACTAGCCCTGAAATACTTGCTGAAAACCTGGCTACTGACCCTCAACTGTGGCTGCTACTCCTCTTTAATCCAGAATTAGAGAATTTAGTCATTCTGAGATCAAGGTGAGATCTTGTCAGCCAGAAAGCTAAGGGCAGAAGGAGACCCCGGAAACTTTTGTTGTTGTTGTTCAGTAGGGTCCTACTCTTGGTGACCCCATTTGAGATTTTCTTGGCAAAGATACTGGAGTGGCTTGCCATTTCCTTCTCCAACTCATTTAACAGATGGTTTATGGATGATTTATGATTTACGAATGAGGAAACTGAGGCAAACAAGATTAAGTGATTTGCCCAGGGTCACACAGTAAGTATCTGAGGCCAGATTTTAAGTCAGGAAGATGAGTCTGGCACTCTAACCACTAAACCACCTAGCTTCTCAGGAAAATTTACTGTTTCATAAAACTTTTAAGGCACTAAAGGAAAGGGGAAAAGATGAGTCACTCATGTCCAGCTATGTTCCTTGATAATTCAAGAACTGTGGGTTAATCATAGAACATCAAAGCTAAAAGAAAGTGCAAAGGGTATCTAAATTCACCTATATACGCCTGAATCAATCACTAAGTATGTCAATCAGCAAGCATTTATTAAGTGCCTACTATGTACCAGACACCATGCTTATTCTCTGGAATATAAAGACAAAAATGAAACAGTCCCTGCCCTCACTGAACTTACTATTGGGAGAGAAAAAAATTACACTACATAAAATATCTATAAAAGAAACACTAGGAAATATTTTTCTGGAGGACATACTAGCATTTGGAGGTAGAAAGAGGGCATCTGGAAAGGATTCAGGTAGGAAATAGAACTTGAGCTAATCTAAAGAAAACTAGGTATTTTGAAAAGTAATGGTTGGGAGGCAATGCATTCCAGGCTTGGGAAGTGTTCTAGGGCTAAGCTTAGCGATGGGAGAGAGAATGTCTTGTGGAAGGAGCAACAAGAAAACTAATCTAGCTGGATTATAAAATATGATGAAAGGAGTATTGAATAATAAGATTGGAAAAGTAGTTTGGAGGCAGATCGTGGAGATCACTGAATGCTGAACAAAGAGTCTGTATTTCTTCTCTACTCTGAGCATTCTCCATGGCTGTCCCCCATGCCTGGAATGTTCTCCCTTCTCTTCTCTGATTACTGGCCTCCCTGGCTTCCTTTAAGTTCCAACTAAAATCCCACCTTCTACAGGAAACCTTTCCCAACTCCTCTTGATTGCAGTGTCTTCCCTCTGTTAACTATTTCCTATTTATCCTGAATACAGCTTGTTTTGTATATATTTGTTTGCTTATTCTCTCCTCCATTTCCCCTCTCCAATCCTCGAGCATAAGTCTGACCATGTTATCCCCTGCTCAATCAAGTCAAATCTCTCTGTTGCCCTTAGGATCAAATACAAAAATACACTGTTTGACATGTAAAGCCCTTTACAATCTTGCTCCTGCCTATCTTTTTAGGCCCATTACTCTTTATACACCCTACATTCCAGCCAAACTGGTCTACCTGGTTATTCCTCCCATGTAGCAAACACTCCATTTCGCACCTGGGTCTTTGTATACATTGTCCCCGTGCCTGGAATGCGCTCATTTCGTACCTTTAAAGGCTCCTTAGAATTCTTACTTTCTTTCAAAGTACAACTCAAATGGCACTTTCTGCATGAGGCCATTTCTGATCCTCTAGTTGCTGGTATTTCCTCCCTAACATATTCCCTTGGTATTTATTTTACATATGTATGTATGTATGTATGTATGTATGTATCTCACAAATACATATAAGTATAATATTTTACGTACATATATTTTATAAAATATATTAGCACAAATATATGAAAGATAAGATATGATGTATTTTTTTTCCTATATATATACTTATATGAGTACATGTCTTCCCTAATAGAATGGGAGCTCCTTGAGGGTAGGGATCTTTTTATTTTTGTCTTTGTATCCCCAGTGCCTGGCCCACAGTAGGCATTTAATAAAATATTTTTTGGTTAATTGATCTTGGTGGCCCTTCTTTGAATGTTTAGCTTATCAATGTCACTTCTAAAATAGGATTCCCAGAACTGAACACAATACTCCAGACAGGGTCTGACTAGGGCAAAATATAGCAGGATCTTCACTTCCCTAGTCCTGGACATGAGACCTTTTTTTCTTTTTTTAAATGCAGTTTAAGATTGCATTTAGTGTTGGTTTTGGCTGCCACACCACCCCATTGACTCACTTGCATTCCACTAAATTTCCCTGTTTTTTTTCCCCAGAGTAATTGCAATCTAGACATGCATCCCACATGCAAAAGTGATTTTTAAAAAAAGAAAACAAGTCGAAGATTTTTCATTTGTCCTTACTGAATTTCATCTTTTTACGTTTGACTCAAGGTTTATCCTCTTCTTAAGATTTTGTGAAGCTTTTGCCTTTGTCGTCCAACAGATTAGCTATTTCTTCTAGTTTTGTGTCACTTGCAAATGGGGTAAGAATGTAATATACCCTTTTGTCCGATTCAGTAATAACCTTGTCCAATAAGGAAATGAAGCTGTTCTGTCATTACTGGTTCCTGATAAAGTTGAGATGACTCTTTGTGCTCACTGCTTCCTTTTCTTGCTGTTCACTAACCATCCTTTACAGTTTGTTCTAGAATTTCTCCAAGGAACAAAAACCAAGTTCACTAGCCTATAGTTGAAATAGGGACATATGTTTGTCCTTCTCTGATTTCTGTCCCATTTTCTATGATCTTTCAGAAATCTCTAACAGAGGATCTGTCTTCTCATCTGCCAGAGCTTTCATAATCCTAGGCTGTTTTTTATCTGGGCCTACTGACTTGAATTTATCAAGGACATCTGGATGCTCTTTTACTGCCTCCTTATTTATCTTAAGTGTGAATGCTTCAATAATAATTTTTGGTATGTCCCTTATAATCCTTATCATGGGCATTCTCTCTATTGTCAGTTATTATTGTCCTATCCACCCCCTTTGTCCTCAGTGTAGCTTAAAACTCTCTCCCTCTCTTTTTTTCCCCTTTAGCATTCCTTGCCAAACTTAATTTATTCTGAATGTTAGTTCTCCTGACACTATTCTTGTAGGACTTATATTCAGCTTTTATTACCTCCCCTCGCTTCTGTCTTCTGTATTGTTTCTTTTCACATTCTAAGTTGGGCAATACCTTCCTTGTGCATTTACAGCAATCTCTTTGGACAATTCCTTTTTTAACCGCAGTGGAATTATTTTTATGCCTTAAGGATCCTATTCTTGACAATTTCTCTTTCCACCGTGGTTGAATTCCACTGTAGAATTTAGCCCATGGGATCCTACTTACACTTTCTCTGAACCTATTGAAGTCTAGTTTCTGCCATGCTTGTCATAGCAGGTCATAAGGAATGTTGCTTAAACAAGAACCTCAATGATTATATAATGTAATCATCTAGAACAAGACTAAAATAAAAAATTACCCAAGAGATCAGAGTACCATCTGAAATTCTGAGCAATGAATGTTTGGAATTTTTAAGAAAATCAAGAAAACAAACAGAGATTTTGCTTAAAATAGGGTTTCCATTTTCCTATCAACTTTTCTTCTCTATACTACTAGAGAAAATGCACCTCTGTCATAGTTTTCATCACTTTTTTGGGGGAAACTATCTTATGATTTTTAAGTATAGACGAATTTCATGTTTCAAATTTTGGTCATCTTTGCAGCCAGCAAAGTGTCTGGTTGAACTCTGTCAGGTTCAACTGAAATGAAGAAGTTTAGACTGTGGAAGGTAATGGATTATGTTGATCTTTGGAGAACTAGCCTAACTGAATGTAAAGAGTTATATCACCAGAAAGTTGGCTACTAGGTAATGCACTTCCCTCCCCAACCCCAGCAAATCTTATAACAGCCTACTAAGGAAGCTATATTTTTGTCAGTGGAGGGAGATGCCACACTGATCATGCGTCATTGAAATACAAAAGCACTATCTCTATAACCTCAAAGTATTTCTCTTACTATTCAATTCTCATTAGCCTGTGTTTTCTTCAATACTGAGTAGTATGGAAAAACAGAAGGAGACAATTTCTTCAAGTGGACAGAGTTTTCTCAGTGGTGAAATATATGAGAAAAGAAGTCACAAAAAGATTCTGGACATTCATAAACTTATGGCTACTGCCAATAAGCCATAGCAAGTTTCAAATATTTTGCTTGAAAATGAATGTTGGGACTATCAGACATCTGGAAACTTCAGCCTCCCAAGTTTAACCATTATTAAAATTCATCAGAGAACTAAAAATATTAGTAATCCCCAAATCTTTAATCGCTCAAAAAGAACATGGCTTTCAAATTAGTCAAAGTCTCAAACTACTAAATCCATTTTGATTACAATAAAAAAAAATCAACCAGGGACAAAGTCTGCCCTGGCACATTCCTGTTTTAGAGGGTAATTTTTCATAAAGTTATGAGGCAGTATGAAGTAAAATTATGGGGCAAAGCATTTTGATGGAAGTTCAGAGTTAGTTATATCATTCCAGGAATAATTCTCTAGGGGCAGTTTTTCAACCAGAGTCCCTTATGCCTGACTTTTAGCTTCTTTACTTTCCTAGACAAGGCTAGAACCTAAAATAGATACTGAACTAAAGTATCAGGATTTGGGAACTGGGGAATAAGGGTTTGAAGGATTAAAGAAAGGAGGTTTGAGGATTAGCGAATGTGGGTTTGGGTTTCTAGAGTGAACTCTTGGGATTCAGAGCAAGAAAGGTTAGGCAGTGGGCTTTGGGGATTAGGGAATGGTAAATTGTGGATCAGGAAAAGAGGTTTGGAGATTTATATGGAATGAAGGATTAGAGATCGGGGGACTAGAGAATAGGGAAACAAAAGATTGGTGAGTGAATGGCTGGAAATTAGAGACTGAAGGATTAAGGGGTTAGGATTAGGAAAGGAGGGGTTGAGGATTCTAGAATAAAGAATTCGGAGGTTGTGGATAAGGGAATGGGGTACTGGGAAATAGCAGGGTGGGAGTATGGCATATTTGGTCAAAGAGCTACAGGCAGGGTAGTATTGGGTCTGGAGGAGTGGTCACGGCTACTTTCTGGGAGCCTCGGGCAGCGGGCAGTGAGTGTATTTCGGAGCTGTGGAACGGGCGTGAGAAGGAAGAGGAGGGAAAGAAGGTGGAGATGGAGTAGTGGGCTGGAGCAGGGGCCAGGCAGTCGGCAGATAGATGCTGGCGCCCCGCGGCTCGGCAGTTACCAGATCTCATCCTGTGCAACGAAATTGAGTTTATCGGCGGCTGAGTTGGTGAGGGGTTTCTGGGCCATGGCTTGTTCTGGTCCAAGTCGGAGTGCAAATGGCAGGAGTGGCCTGGGCTCCTGTCCGGATCATTGTGTCCCTACGGTTGTCCTTGGCAACTGGGTGTTGCCGGGAGATGGCGGGTTCGGGAGGCTGAGGCCACCTGTCCAGGTCGCTGTTCAGGCTTCCCTTTTGAAGCTGCTGGGGGCCCCGCCCTTTCCCTCTTTCCTTTCCCTTAAGGTACCTTAAGCTCGAAATACATTATTCTGTGTTCCCTTCCATCTTTTCTCCTTTTCTTTTTGCCTTTGTTCCTCAAGAAAGAGCTGCTTTCTCTTCCTCAGAGGCAGTGGGATGCAGTGAAAAGAGCCCTGGTTTTGCGATCAAGGGAGGTTGGGTTCCATTCCCTGAATTCCATCCAGTTCCTGTTTGTGCCACTTCACAGAATAGAATGTCAGAACCTCAAGGAACCTTAGACACCAAAGAGTGGGACATTTATAGTCAAGAGACCTATTTAAATTCTAGCCCCTCTGCTTACTGCCTAGGTTAAGTCAATAAAAACTTCTCTGTTCATCAGATTCCATATCTATAAAATAAGTTTGTTGGAATGGATGACCTGTAAGGTGTCTTCCAGCTCTGAATCTAGCATCCTATGATGACTTAAGGTATGTATTTCCCAAGGTTCTGTCCTTATGCCATTCTAAACCCTCGTTCATAGAGGAGGGAACTGAGGCATAGAGTGGTCAAATGATTTTTTTGTCCAGCATCACATGAAGTAACTTAGCAAGGACTGGAACTCCTGTCCTCTGAATTCTTTGACTCCAAGTCCAGGGACCTCCATTTCCTTCTACGTCTTTGTACTGGTTGACATCCATGCCTGGGATGTACTCCTTCTTCATTTCTATCTTTCAGAATTCCTAGCTTTCTTCAAGGCTCAGCTCAAAGCATCATCATCATCTTCTTTTACTTCTTTTTTTTGCTTTTTTTTTGGTGAGGAGATCAGGGTTAAGTGATTTGCCCAGGGTCACACAGCTAGTAAGTGTCAAGTGTCTGAGGCTGGATTTGATCATCTTCTTTTTCATGTACACACACACACACACACACACACACACACACACATTCTCCAATTACATATTAAAACAATTTTTAAAAATTTAGAAAAGTTTTGCATTCTAAATTCCCTCCCTCCCTCCTCTTTTCCCTCCCTGAGATGGTAAGCAATTCAATATAGTTTATACATGTGCAATCATGTAAAGCATTTCCATATTAATCATTTTGTACAAGACTCAAATAAAAAAAGGTGTGAAAGAAAGTGAAAAATAGCATGCTTCAGTCTGTATTCAGACAGTGTCATTTCTTTCTCTGGAGCTGGATAGCATGTTTCATCATGAGTCTTTTGGGATTGTCTTGGATCATTGTATTGCTGAGAATAGCTGTCATTCCCAGTTCTTCATCATGCAATATTACTGTTACTGTATACAATGTTCTCCTGGTTCTGCTCACTTTACTTTGCATCAGTTGATGTAAGTCTTTCCAGGTTTTTCTGAAATCATCCTGCTTGTCATTTCTTATAGCACAACAATATTCTGTGAAAATCATATACCATAGCTTGTTTAGCTATTCCCCAATTGATGGGCATCCTCTTTATTTCTTAGCCACCACAAAAAGAGCTATCAAGCACCATCTTCTAATTAACATGAAATCTTTCCTGATCCTTGAAGATGTTAGTTTCTTTCCACCTCCCCCATTCTTTTGCTTTGTATAATAATAAAAGCTAACATTCATGTAGGACTTTAAGGTTTGTAAAGAACTTTACAAATGTTATCTCAGTTGTTTCTTGTAACAACTCTGTGAAGTAGATGCTATTATTATCCCCATTTTACAAACAAGGAAACTGAGGCTGAAAAATGTCGTTTTCCCCAGAATCATAAAGCATAAATTTTCTCTAAAGTTTTCAGATTAGATAACTAAAAGTGTCTGAGGCAGAATTTGAAACCAGGTCTTCCTCACCACAAACCTAGCACTTTACTATCTCACTCTGTATCTATTTTGTATATTTGTTCACCTGTTTTAGTTGTGTCTGACTCTTTATGACCCCATTTGTGTTTTTTTTTCTTGGCAAAGATACTGGAATGGTTGCCATTTCCTTTTGTAGCTCATTTTACAAATGAGGAAACTGAGGCAAACAGGGTTAAGACATGCCCAGCATCACAAAGCTAGAAAGTGTCTGAGGCCAGATCTGAACTCTTTCCCTCTCTCTGTATATATGTGTAAATACACACACACACACATATATACACATTTTGTCTTTGCCTGAATCCCCTGAGGGTAGATATTGTTTTTACTTTTTCCTTTGCTTTTGCTATCGCTTAACATAGTGCTTGGTACTTTGTAGATGTTTAATAAATTGGTTGTTGATTGATCGATCACTGTATTATACTGAACTATTAAGGATAGAACCTTGGGTATATTGTTTAACCAACCTCAGCTTCTGTTTCTTCATGAAGATATCATCACACTTGCCTCACAGGAATTTTGCTATGATTTAATATGAACATGGATATGACAATGCCCTATAAATGCTAACCCTCAACAACCATGCATAAAGTGTTATTAACAAACTCAATAATAGTAAAATTTGCCCTCCCTTCAAATCGTCTCACTCCCTAGCCTTTTTCTCTGATCCCTTTCCCACTTCTGCTTTTCTTTGGTATTTTTCATCTACCCCAGCCTTGCTTCAGGCTAGATAATCAAAATTATCCCCAACTCTAAAGCTCTCCTGCCTTCCAGTGATGTCACCTAGCACCACTACACTCCAAAAAAACCTTTACTTTTTTCTATCAACTAACTCCTAGTTGTTCAAAACCCTGGGCCTCACATCTCTCTCTCCCCAGCAAAGGAAATTATACTTATTGTAAGGAGATAGCTTTCCTCCTGACTTTGCTCATGTAATAAGTAATTCAATGTTTACTGGATACTTGGGGGCATACAGCGATGCACATGACAAAAAATGTGGGCCATAAAGGAGCTGACAGTCTATTTTAGGAAGCAGGACCTACATGCATGTAAAGAAAACTAACTAGACAAAGCTATATATGCTTAATTTCTCATCTGAAAAATAAAGGGGTCAGACTAAATGATCTCCTGAGTCCTTTCCAGCTTTTCTATTTTATAAATCTCACATACAGAGAGTAAAGGAAGAAGGGAGGAAGGAAGAGAGGGAAAGAAGGAAAGGAGAGAGAGAGAGAGAGAGAGAGAGAGAGAGAGAGAGAGAGAGAGACAGACAGACAGACAGACAGACAGACAGACAGAGACAGAGACAGAGACAGACAGAGACAGACACAGAAAGAGACAGAGAGAGAGAGAGAGAGAGAGAGAGAGAGAGAGAGAGAGAGAGAGAAAGAGAGAGAGACAGAGAGAGAGAAGGCCGGGAGGGGGGAGACAGACACACAGAGACAGAGACAGAGACAGACACACACAGAGATGGGGAGGAAGAGAGACAGAGAGACAGAGACAGGCAGAGACTGTCAGAAACAGAAAAAAAGACAGAGGTAGACTGAGACAGAGATAGACAGACAGGAGAGCTGTTGGTGTGTGATGTGATCAGCGAAGGATTCTTAGAGAAGATAGGGCTTGAGCTGGCATTCTGAAGAAGGTTAGGGCCCAGATAGGCAGGTGGAACTGGAAAGAGCAATGGATTTGGAGTCAGAAGAACTGGGATCAAATCCCAGCTTTGCCAAGGTCATTATGGATTTCAGTTTCTTCATCCATAAGAAGATGTTGCACCAGGTGGCATTTAAGATCTCTTCTAATTCCAAAATCCTATGATGCCTGGAAGGTAAAGGATATAGATCTGTAAAATAGACATATCTGAGAGGAAGAGAAAATTTGGGGAACTTTAATGACACAAAACCAAACTCTCTCTTGCATATGTTTTTCCATGTTTGTCAAACTCTAGAAATCTAAGGCAGTGAGTGAATTCCTTTTGTGTGATGGGGCTCTTTGCTGACTAACAGAATCCATGGTAGCTAATTAGCTAAGCATCTCCTCAGCAGCAGAGGAAGGCTGTTTTTCCCAGGTCTGATAGCACTTATTTGTTCTGTCACAATCCCAGGGGGCTGTTTGCCTCTCTCCCTTTCCCTGACCTCCCTTTATCAACAGATTTGTACTTTAACTGGGTGTTAGAAGGTTTCACAGCTGGTGTTTTTTCCTATTGTAACCAATTTCCCCAGACCCTAGCCGGGTGGTGTCTTCTTGGCTGCTAGAAACACATGGCAAAGACTCAAATTAGGGTGGGTCACACATGCCCACTCAACCAAAATAGTTAAAAGAGGGAACAGGAATTGATTCTGGATTAATTAACGTGTATTCACACTATGCCAGTGACTGAGCTTGGGGTTTATAGCAAACAAGAAGGCCATAAGATTTCTTTAGGAAACTCTATGAATCCAAGTTTTCTCTCTAAATAGGGAGATAAAACAATTATTCCATGCTGCAATGGATTAGGAGTCAGAAGACCAAGGTTCAAATTCTAGCTTTGTTGTTTGCCACCTTGGACAAATCACTGAATCTCTCTGGAGTATAAATTTCCTCATTTAGATGTGTATGGGGTAGCTGATCAGAGTAGTCCCTTATCAAAATAAGGAATTGTTTTAAAAATTATTATTTTTTCTCAATTACACGTAAAATAATTTTTAACAGTCTTTTTAAAAAAAATTTGAATTCCAAATTCCCTTCCTCCCTACCCTCACATTGAGAAGGCAAGCAATTTGATATAGATCATACATGTGCAATCATGCAAAACATATTTCCATATTATCCAGGATACAAAATAAACATATGCTCCCCCTGCAAAAAGTCAAGAAAAATGAATAAAGTAAAGAAGTATGCTTTGATCTGTATTCAGATTCCACCACTTCTTTCTTTGGAGGTGGATACCATCCTTCATTATAAATCCTTTGGAATTTTCATGGATCATTGTATTGCTGAAAATAGCTAAGTCATTCACAGTTGATCAATATATAATATTTCTATTACTGTGTATAATGTTATCCTGGTTCTGCTAGCTTCATTGTGTATCAGTTCAAATAAGTCTTTCCAGGTTTTTTTATGAAAGCATCCTGTACATCATTTCTAATAGCACCATAGTATTCCATCACAATTATATACCACAACCTGTT